ATGTAAGTACCAAGTTTCATTGAAATGTAATGCTCACTACTTATATCAAAAGCTGAAAATTAATTAATTATGCAAATTAGGTAATTATATGTACTAATATTACCATAAAAACTATCAGGTCTGAGCAGTGTCATATGACATCTATGTACCAAGTTTCATTGAAATGTGATGATTAGTACTTGAGATATCAGTGGAAAAACCGAAAATTGACTAATCATTATGCAAATTAGGTAATTAGTATCCACGGATTATTACCAAAAACTAATCAAATCTGCGCATATGTTCAGAGCATCTATGTACCAAGTTTCATCAAAATTCAATGAGTGGTTCTTTAGATATCAGTGGAACAGTCATAGAACAGCTAAAAATTAGCTAATTAACGAGCATGGATTTTTACCAAAACCTAATCAAATCTGCGCATTGGCCCAGAGCATCTATGCACCAAGTTTCATCAAAAACCGATGTATGGTTCTTGAGATAGCAGTGGAACAGTCGGACACACATACACACATACACACACACACTAACTGCAAAGACTCCCATTTTGTGCTTCGAACATGGGAGTCAAAAATAGCGAAAATAAGATATTTTATAGTACAGCAACTATGTTTTTGTACAATAAGTGATTGTATTGGTTGATTGATATTCAATGAGCTTGTGTATTGCAATTAAAGTACATAATACTAGACGGACAACACACAATTCCAAACTTATCGAACAGGTTTAAATACTTTAAAAATGCAAACGAATTGTTTTTCAGGACAGACAGATTGTTTACACATTAGAGATCACAACGAAATGAATGAGGATAGACTGAATGATGATTTGTAAATTCATAAGCTTTTTAATACAATTAGTGTAGTTGATGTGTTCAACAATGATATAATTATTGAGCAGCGCCCCCAGTGTTCAATCTGTGAATTTCCGATTAAATATATTGTCTGAAATGTATTACAATTAATCAGTTTTTATTAACTTGTTTTTTTTTCCAGGTCCACTGCAATATCTGTACAGTCACTGGCTAACAGAATGGGGGCCATCCTGGGGAATGTTGTTTTTGGAGCATTTATGAATACCCACTGTGCAGTGCCCATATTATCCGTCTCCTCACTCATGACGATCGGTGGTCTACTCACATTGAAACTTCCGAACACAATGAAAGCAGACTTGCCTTAATTTTTGGCATGGTATTGCAATATGACCAGTGTCTTTGGTCTAGTCATTTTCTTCTGTTCATCAACACCACAGTCTTTTAAAAAGTTGATATTTTTAAGGAATTCTCATAATGTACAACAATGATAATTTTATTTTTAGATTAAAGCATATTCTGTGGTATGATGACATCACAATTGCTTTTTAAACTGTAGTGAATGTCATGTTTACATTACATTACATATACAAACAGACAGAAACAGATGAAATTCTTTATTGTATATTTTACAAGATATCTAGTAGAAATACAATTTTGTTGTTCCAAGACATGCTCTCTTTATTACAAATACATGTCAGTATGTATATATAATATTTATATCCAACACTTGTCAATTGGTCTTATAGCATATCAGTCTTTCTGTACCATACTTTACAATAAATATATGATGTAAACAACTTATATTTCTTTCTGTATTTTAGATCACAGACCATATACATGACCTTCATAGCTCCCCAGACAATAGTTTCACATTTCGTGACCACATTTCTGCCAGCAAATTCTGCATGGGCAATTCTGTTTGCTTTTTGGCTAAACTCTACATTTCTCACATTTGAAGATATATTCTCGATTATAAAACTATATTCATATACATAAGAGCGAACTGAAATGAGAGAACCTTTTTATTCAGACACATTCTTGGAGTAAGACTCTTTTGACATGGGGAATTTTTTTCTAGTTCTATTTCCACACATACAGAGGTGTCATCAGTGACTACATTGCCATTGCCATGGTCATTTTTGTTTTATGTTGTTGTCGTGTCTGTCTCTGGTCCTCTTGTACCTTTTTCAGCAGTTTGGGATCTTTCAGTTCCGGGCACACTTCCAAGAGTACCAACTCGAATAACACCTGTGGAGATAATTATATAGACATCAAACTGGCTTAGACAGTTCTGAAACAAACAACGCCGCATTTGTTTACAGAGTATGCACATACTTTGAAGCAGGAGGGTTCACCTGCGCACACGCGAGAATTGAGTTCCAAGCGACGATAACAACACATGCAAAGGCTCATGTGTGAACAGTGACACGCTATGCGCAGCTGACGACTCCCCCGATTTAACCAGTCATTTGCTTGCTGCTGTTATTAAAGGAGATGAAATAAAGCCCACATTCATGGTTGAGTTAAACTATTGATGTTCACTTCCATCAAAAATAACAATAACAAGTCATTGAAAATGACACAGTCCCCGTT